AACAGAAATTGAAGAGGAGGGGGTTGTTGAGGATCGGTTTTGTTGTTGGAGGGGAGGTAGGTAACATTTGTAGACGTAAATTAATATAGTGCTTAAAATGTTGTGGTTTTTGTTGTTTTTGCCGCGCACTGGCAATCTTCCATCCATGAAATTGTGAAAATCAACAACAAGCCAGACAGACAGACAGTCAAGCGGGAAAATGAGTTAGGCCCCCAATATGGAGAAGAAAAAAAAAACTGAGACATTGTGGCAGATAATCCGCATGAAATATTTGCTTAAATGTAGATTTTTTTTCATTTTGAAAAAAAAAATTATAAGAAAAACAACCTTTTGACTGGAAGAGTGCAAAAAATTTAGCCGACGGCCCAAAGTTTTCCTCAGTTGCAGATTTGATAAAAATCTTTTGGGTTGGTTAATGGTTTTAAATCTAATTAGTCTTCAAAGACGCAAAAGTATGTGGTGGGTTTTAGGAAAAATATATATAAACGAAATAAAAAATTAAGTAACAAATCAGAGATGGGAGTTGTAAATTTCCAAAAAAAAAAAAATATTTCTGAAATTTTTTTAAAGATATTGGAGGATAGGTTCCATTTCGTAGGACATAAAACCAAAATGGAAAAATTAAGTAACAAACCAGGATTGGGAGTTGTGAAATACAGGATAATTTTCGGCATTTTTTTAAAGGTATTGGAGGATAGGTTGTATTTAGAGTAAAATAAGGTTTGTGGTTTTCACAACGGAAGAAAACAGCAACATCAGCGGAAATGGTTCGAAAAGTAAAGAAGCTACTTGATTGAAACCCGCGTCGCAGTGGCCATAAAAATGGCTCGTGAGCTGAACATATTGCAATATTCCATTCGGCAAATATTGAAAAATTAGCTCGGGGTAAAACCACTGAAATGCCAAAAAGTGCAAGAACTTACACCGCTATAGAAAGAAAATAGACTCAAAAGAGCTAAAGTGTTGCTTCGCTCAGCCTAAAGTGGTGAACTGCCGAATTTGGTTTCTCCGATGAGAAAACATTCGTTGTCCAGCAGTTTGTAAAATAACTTGCATTGTTTACTTGCCAAAGAGATCATCTGAAAATGTGCACCCTCGGTTGGTCACCAGAACTCAAGCGCCGGCCGTGGTGATGGTGTGGGCCGCCATAACAGCCGATGGTCGCTCTTCGATCGTATTATTCGACCGTTGCATCAGAATAAATGCCGAATATTATCGCGAAAATATTCTGGAGCCTTGAGCCTTGGGCGTGAAATATTTTGGCCGCAGACCTTGGAGCATTCAGCACCCTAATTCCAACATATCTATACTTTTTTCAAAATTTGATGCTATTTCCGAAATTTTTTTGCTTTTATTCAATAAAATTTAAAAAAAATGTAAAAATTATGGCGTTTGATTTCCCAAAATTCGCATTTGTTACAGGTAGATGTCGCTGGTTGAAATATATGAAAATTATTGAATGGTATTTAAAATATAAATTTCCAACTACCTTCGATCCGATACATTGCCTTTATCATTTTCGGCCTATTGTTTGAAATCCCTTTGTTTTATTTATCACTCTTGTATTGTGGAATACCATTTCTCTGCCTTAGATATTTCTCACAGACTGATGTCGTTGCTTTGAGGCTCCAAAAACCTTAAAGACCATTGCTATCATATAAGCGGTTAGAGGGGCACTACATAAAGCCAAAAAAAATTACAAATTGGATATTTGGGTTCTCTTGTTCGAATTCTAGTTCCAATTTAATTTCTCACAGGTAGATGTCGCCTTTAGAAAAAAAAAATTAAAAGCAGTATTTGAATCATTTCGGTAGTATCCGTGGTGGGGTTTTTGACACAACCAACTACCAATATTTGACTTATTGTTTGAATTCCTAGTGTTTAATTTACCGCTCTTGCATTTTGCACACCCATTTCTCTAACATCTCTAACGTATCTCTCAAAGCAAAATGTTGTTGCTTTGCCATCCAATAAAAAAACTATAAAATTGGATTTGAAATTAAATATATATTTTTTATTATTTATTTAGATTATTATTAATATTTAATTGCCACGATTCTTTGCCATTAGATGGTATTTTCAAACTCATTTAACAAAATGGCCATGAATCTTGACCAGACGAGAAAATATTCCAAATTAAAATGTAGATGCAATTTCGAAATGGTCATTAACAACACGCATGGCATGGCATTTCTATAAAATATTTTCCATATATATTTCATATTTTTTGCAACAAATTTTCTGGCCATAATTAAAGCAACATGAAAACAAAAAACAATATATATTCTTGCCAAAAAAAAAAAAAAAAAAAAAAAAAAATCGAAACTCAATTCTTTAATGAATGAGTTAATGAGCGAAAAATGTATTTTTTATTGGCGACAACAAAGTTTTTGGCCAACAAATAAAACCAATAAACATATATGCATACATAAATATATTTTCCATTTGTTGTTTTTTTTCTGAAGACCAAAAAATATGCTAATATTAAGAACAGAATCTACTCTAATTTGTTGCTCAATAACGAAAATAAATGACCAGAGCGATTTTTGTCTAGTTTGTTTTCCAAAAAATTTTAAAACAATTCTTTGTCACAGTCTAGCATAAAAAATGACAATTTTCTAGACAAGCAAGCCAAATAAAAAACATAACAATATTATTAAGTAGCTTATTTTTTCCAAACCGAAAAAATTAGCTGAAGGTCAGCTATAAATATTCTATGCTGGGGGGAAATGGAACCTACGGTAGCAAAATTTGTATAAAAAAATATAGAATTAATGATCTACTTTTTTACGATATTTCTTTATGGGTTAGTTTATAGGTTTTCTATATATAAATTTTCAAAAATTTTATTTTTAAAAAATTCTCAATGGAAATTTGCTAAATAAATAAACCTATTTTTAAAGATGACATTTTGTTTTCAATAAAACATTTTTTTTAAAGATTCAATTTATTCTAATCGATTGGTAACAGGGAATGAACAAAATACAGATAAAAAAATGGATTGAGCAGAGTCTGATCTTGTCCAGGATTCTTATCAAGCATATTTTTTATAGTTTTTTGTTTTAAAAATTCTGTTCACTTGAATTTTTTCCTTTTTTCCTCGGTATTCAGAGGAAAGGCAAAAAATTGAAATCTCTTAAAAATATTATCATGGTCAGAATTCTTCTTGATTTGATTTTCTTTTATAAAATCTTCATGGAAAGTAAAAAGCTACTATTTTACACAAAAAACTTCCCCAACTTCCAAATATAACCTCGTAAAAGATTTTGGTATGTTCTCCGGTTGATTTTTTTATTTAGTTCGTCATGAAATGAAATACGAATTCAATTCAATTACAAAAAGGAAATATGTTGTGTATCCACTAAGTGAGACGCCATCTGGGGCCAAGACGATTTCAAAGTCTATTGTTTTAGTCTGGATTAGAATTGTTTTCTAGCATTTTTTATTTATTTATTTATTGTTTTTTTTTTTTTTTTTTTTTTTTTTTTGGCTTCGATATAAATATATGTCTGCCTGTGCTTCGGAAGAAGAGTATTTCAGCAGAATTAATTAAAAAAAAAAAAATAAAATAAAAAAAAAAAATAAATAAAATAAATAATCTCAAATCTCATTGTATCACTAGAGCTTCGAAATATTATCTGGGTCACTATTCTTGTTTAGATTTTTTTTTATAGTTTCATATTTTCTTTATAATTTGATTTTTTTTATAAAATCCGCATGGAAAGTGAATTGAGCCCTTATTGATCTTCCGAAGGGATTTCAAAGTAAATGTCAGGGTGTGTCGGTAATTTATTCGTTTTTAATTATTACCATAAAATCAAGCTTAAAAATATGACCGGGTCAGTATACTTTTTTTTAAATTGTTTTAGCTTGCATTAATTTCAAACTGTGGTCTTAAAAAAAAACAACTCCCAATCCTAGAGCAAATAAAAAGTACAGAGGGGACAGCTTGTATCAAATCTTAGAGCTTAATATATGATCAGGACCAGGATAATTTTTGTAGAATTTTTTAACCATTTTTTTATTTTTTAACTTTTAGTCATTTTAACATTTTATTTTTAATATATTTTTTCATGGAGCCATCCGAGGTAATATCGAATTGAATGTCTACATTTTTTTTGTGATAGATAGTATTCATGCAAAAAAAAAAAAAAAACATTAACACCTTAGCTCGATTAAATTAAAAAAAAAAATAAAGAGGATTCTTGTCTAGCATTTCCATATTTTTAAATCATTTTTTATAAATCGTATTATTTTAATTTTTTATGATATCCTTTATGGAAGCATCTGAACTAATATAGAAATGAATGTCAATAACTATATTGAGTCTATTGTAGTCTTCACGCGAAAAAACCTTAAATCAATTCAATAATTAGAAAAACAATAATAATAGAGGGTGCCTCTTGGACCAGGGACTTTTGTCTAGCATTTTCTAATAATTTTTAATTTTTATAAGTTGTATTAATTTGAAAAGTTTTTTTTTTATAATATTTTTCATGAAGATATGATATAATGGTCAAAATCTTTTTTGTGATTTGGAGGAATAGAAAAAAACAACAACAAAAATCCGAATACCTTAACTCAATTCAAAAACAAATAAATAAATAAGAAACTACAGTTAGCTATGTTTGTTTCTTGAAGACTATTCCGATATCTACTATTTTACACATAACATATCCAGAGCTTAAAAAAACGCCCTATATCTGCATTTTTTATAATTTAAAAAAAGGCTAGGAAGCTATGGGTTTCTCCAAAACCATTTCCAAATCTGCTATTTCTCACATAACACCTCAAGAGCTAAAAAAAGGGCCTAGATCTGAATTCTATTTTTTTATTTATTTATTTTTTGTTTTATTTTATATTCTTTCACAAATTTTCATTGATAACTCTTTTCCCCCATCAGTAGTTTTGATATTTATTTTTTATTTATTGTTATTATTTTTTCATAGTTGTTTATTTATTATTATTTTTATTTTTTTGTTTTTCAATAAAACACCCACCTGGATATGAATGGCACGTGCAGAGAAGATTGAGACCCAAATGAAAAAAATGAATTTGAGAACACGAAGAATTTTGCGGTGAAAGCCAAGGAAATCGTAGGCGTCCGTTTACGATACGCAAGTGGCTATGATGACGAGGGTGGTGGTCGCTTGGGGTTCTTCCTTCGGCTAGTCGATAATGTTGTTGTTATTATTATTGCGGGGTGATCACGTTTTGGTTTTCTGCTTTTTTTGATTTTCCCCGAAAAAACACTTGTTTGCAAAACAATTTTTTTTCAAATTATATTTTTGCTCCACACATTTAAAAAATGTTTTTATTTTTATTAAATATTATTTTTTTATAAATTTCAATAATTTTCCTCTTTGTAATGTTTGTTCCAATGTTATTTCATTTGCTTACGATTTACGGAAAAAATCGATAACGAATTTTATTTTACTGCAATGTTTTTTTTATTTTTTACTTTGCTTTGCTGGCTTTGTTGCCATGTACCTACGTCACAATGTAATTTTTGCTTTTTTTTGTAGGAATGGGAAATTTAAGCTTTTTTGCTGCCTTAAAGTTTGCAAGTTAGTAGTCCAAGTTGTGCCAAACGAAATTCTTCAATTTCATTCATAAAAATCTGCAACCACTTTTTTTTGTTTTGCTGGCGAACAATCAATCTATGAATGGTGGAGGTTGTGGAGGGTAAGGTTGGGGCCCGGTTTGTTTTTTTTTCTCTCTTTGTAGTATGGGGGAGGAGGTTTTTTTGCTTTCAGTTTCACTTTATTCCTTGGTAAATTGCTGTTTTCACTTTCTTTTTTTGTGTTGTCACAAGTATTTCAAATTATCTAATTGGCTTGGCAAATTAGATAGCTAGTTAGAGATATCCATGATAATTCCAATAAGAATTTATTTTTGAACTGTTTTTTCCACAATATTTTATTTCCAAATTTATTTGCTTTGTTTTTAATTTTTTCTCTTGCTTTGCAATTCTATTTGTTTAAAACAAAATTTATTTGTTGCTTTTTTTAATGATTTCTTTGCTTGCTTTTCTTTTGTGTATTTGAAACTAAGATTTCTTTCCTTTTTTTATTTGCTTTTCTTTTGTGTGAGAAAATTTTATTTTGGTAAACTTTTGCTTTGTAGTTGGTTATAACCGATACGTTTGCTTGTTCGAACACAACTGAAGCACGAGATGAGTATTCATTTGGTTTTTATGAATGAAACCGGCCAAAAGATACATATAGCCACAGCCGTACGTTGTACAACAACAGCAACGGCAAAAACGGGCAGAGTGGTGCCCCTTTGGCATACACAAAATCGATATGCTCACTGAATGGATGGATGGTTGAATGCATGCACTGGCTGCCCATAGATAGGTTTTCCGTCTAGCAATGCGCTCTCGCACACAGAGTGGCCCCTCTTTCGAACACAAAACCCCAAAAACACACACAAACCCCTTACTCATGCTCTCACTCTCAGCAATACTCTTTTCTCACACAATGGTCCCCAGTCAAACAAAAAAAGGGGGATTGTTTTGTTTGGGCCAGCAAGAGGCACCAGCAAATGTGTGTATTCGTTTTGCATTGCACACTCATAGAGCGTACAAGGAGAGAGCATAAAAGTGTGTGTGCGTGCGTGTGTGTGGTGAACCAATGATGGTGTGGTTGCCTCCCCATTGTGTAGCCATTTTCAGGCTGTTAGGCTGGCGCAAGCGCACAACAGCCAATCAACAGTTTGTTTAATACAAAGGGGGGACTCTCGCTCACTCACCGCCACACTCTCTACACTCTCAGTGGTCCCAAATACAGCTCTCTCGTGGTATTTTCGAAATTAATTACCACAGCAATTTCCCCTTTTTTCAAGAGCTTTCTTGGTTGGAGAGGGCTCTCTCATATGATGTTTGAAAGAAGGGGCAATTCGTAAAACCCAACTCACCCGCTAAAAATATAACCAACAGGTATTTTGTTTTTCATAATTCTTTTTTATTCGTTTTTGCTTTCCTGAAAAATAAAATCGTAAACATCTTTAGGTTTTATTATTAATTTTTCCGTTTTTTTTTCTTCGATTTTTCAAAACAACGTCAATAACTTCGACGTCATTGTCTTCATCAACGGCATCATCATATGAGCCACAAACTTATTTTCATGCAACAAACATCATCAATTTTTGTTTGTTTTGGGGTTGGAGGCATATTAGAATTCATGCCCCCCTCATTGATTACCCGGCATTTGCTACCGGCATAACACCGCCGTTTTGTTTATTAATTTAAAGAAAATCTCAACAAAAAAAAATTGTTTTCATTGCTTTGTTTTTAAAATTAGCCAAAGAAAATTCATAATATTGCAAATTTTAGCCATATGATTCATTTCGTAGATGATTTTTGTTTAGTTTTTTTTTTTTTCGTTTCGATTTTGGCAATTGTGATGTTTTCCTATCAGGTGGAATTGTAGTGAAACGTATGTAGTATAATGAGGTATTTGAAGCGTTTGAGTTCATTGGCGAACTGTATTTTCTTTGTGAATAATTTTCATTAAATATTGTCTTGATATAAAGAAAACAAAGCTACAAATAAATATTTCATTTTGCAAAAGTGACTATTCGAAGTAAGTACACCATGAGATTATTAATATTCCGCATACGTGTATTCTTGATCAGCACAAAAATATAAGTCGATTTTACGATGTCTATAGACATCGTAAAATCGACCATATATATATATATGGTCGATTTTACGAGGTCTATAGATAGAGCATACATCATATTACTTAGAGCTTTGAAAGTATTATAGTAGTAGGCACTTTTAGGATTTACGTATTTTTTCATCTTTAACCATTCTAAGTGACATTTTTCCATAACAACAAATTTAATTTATTCAAATTCAATGGTTCGAAAAGTAAAGAAGCGACTTGATCGAAATCCGCGTCGAAGTGGCCGAAAAATGGTTCGTGAGCTGAGCAGATCGCAATATTCCATTCGGCAAATATTGAAAATCGAGCTCGGGGTAAGGCCATTAAAATTCCAAAAAAGTGCAAGAACTTACACTGCAACAGAAAGAAAATAAACTCAAAAGAGCTAAAGAGTTGCTTCGCTTGACCGAAAGTGGTGAACTGCGGAATTTGGTTTTCTCCAATGAGAAAACATTCGTTATCCAGCAGTTTGTAAACAAACAAAGAGGTCAGCTGAAAATGTGCACCTTCGGTTGGCCACCAGAACTCAAGCGGCGGCCATGTTGCCGATGGTCGCTTTCCGTTCGTATTAATCGACAGTGGCATCAGAATAAATGCCGAATATTATCGCGAAAATATTCTGGGGGATGTATTAAAGCATTGGGCATGCAAACATTTTGGCCGCAGACCTTGGACATTCCAACAGTATTTAGAACCACCGCACTCAGCACGCACCACCAAAGAATGGTTACAAAATGAGGTTCCTTGCTTAATTTCTATCGCATAATGGCCACCAAAATCTCCCGATACCAATCCGTTGGACTATTGTGTCTGGATTATTATGGAAAGCAAGGTTGGCACTAAAAAATACAAAAGTGTCGATCAAATCAAGCCGGAAATGGGCCAAATACCGCAGAGCAATATTCGGCCAGCGTGTGACGGTTTCATTGGCCATTTGAAGGCCATAGTTCGTACAAAAGTGACCAATTCGAACAAATCTAAACTTATTTTAAAATTTGATGCTATTTCCGACACTTTTTTTTTGCTTTCATTTAATGAACTTAAAAAATATGTACAAATTATGGCGTTTGACTTTGTTGCAGTTTTTTTTTTTTATCTCACTCTGTAGTTCTGCCTTTTTGTACAGCCCTTTTAAAAATATATCCCCTGGTTTAAATTAATGGGAAGGTCTTTGCCCGTATTTTCTCATTGATGTGTTTTAAGCAGATTTGTACTAGCGGAGAAACGGTTTCCTTCACAAAGGTTTTAAGATTTTTAATAACCATGAAGCACATAGAATGCGAAATCAGCATTTGGTACCTCACTAACCTCAAAATTTTGAATAATTATGTCTCTCATAAAATTCGAAATAAACATCCGTTTCTCGTCAAGTTATTTTTTTAAAAATGATAGATATCCGCCTACCCCTTCTGGAAATAAATTATATTATATGAAGCAATGCCACCAATACAAAAATATTACATTATTTTTTTAAAATTTCTTTTTAAATAGCTGCTTACTTATATATGTAAAAAAAAACAACATTTTGATATCAATACGTCAATACAACCAAAACTCCATTGAAGAACATTTTTAATTAAATCTACGACATTTCTATTGTTTTTCTCATTGATTTTCGAGGGAAATTCACTCCTACTCCAGTTTTTTGAGGTACCGAAATATAGAATGTATAAAATAATTCAATTTTATAAAACACAAATTAATATGTACTCAGGTACTAAAATTGGAGTCTTTCTTTCTCAATTTTACTCCGCCCTTTATCTAAAATTCTTTTAGTGTTTTCTATTTTCTTTCAGTTAATTGATTAAATTGTTCCACTTCACCTAAAAGGCACAACACAGTTTCCATTGTGAGCAGCCCTCAACAGCGAAGATATGGGTTCATGTTCGACACGTGGCAATTTCACACTTGTTGATTTGTGGCGGCACTCTAATACATCGAACAAAGGGAGTGAGTCTCTATGGGATGTGCCTGATTTCGAATGGTCGGTGTACACATTGAAGTACAGCGTGAACGGCAGCCACCGCCACCATCACCACCATCATTAACAGTCAGAGATAATAAAGAGGCACGCGTTTGTTTCATCGACATATCATCACTGGATGGATAAATAGATACATACACATATCTCTACATTTCCTCATGCCTTACTGACCCACACAATTCGATTTACAGCAATGAAAATCGAATAATGAAGTCAGATGTTTGACTGTGGGAATTTGCCGGATGTAGAGTAATGTTCGATATAAAAGTACTGCAAAAATGGGTATCAATGACCTTTGGTGAATACTAAAATGTAACATTACGAAATTGGTCGTAATAGGGGTAGGCCGAAAAAAGTAAGAGAAAAATGAAAAATTGCAAAACACGTTAAAAATGTCCATCGGTTTTGCCGACAGATATTTAAATATATTTTGACTTTTGTTATAATTATTTAAATTGTTGGCCCCCTATGGAGTAGATTCCGAAGGAATGGGCCAATACGATATAAATATTGCGACGTGCCAGATTTGGACTATATGTGTTACTCCTGGAAATACTCCTGTAAGACCCAACAGAGTATATATTCTTGATCAGCATAAAATTCTATGTCGATGTAACGATGTCCGTCTGTCTGTCGTATCATTCGAATGAATCGAGATAGACGGCTAAAATTTTGCAGACATATATATTTTGCCAGTAGGCAGGTTAAGTTCATAAATGGGCCATGTAGGTCCACGTTTTCGTATTGCCCCGATATAACTGTACCTCCCGATATTCGGTATTTTGGTGATTTTAGTGACATTATTCACCGAAATTGTTTCAAATTTGGTATTTGAAGTTCGTAATGGATACTACAACTTATGACAGAAAGTTGTCTATGAATGTCCAGGTCTTAGTATAGGTCCCATATATCAGAACCTCCCTATATTCGGTATTTTGACGATTTTATGTACAATACTCACTGAAATTGTTTTAGATGTCGTATGGATGATACAGGCTGCAACAGAAAATTGTGTATGCAAGTCCAGGTCTTCGTATAGTTCTGATGTAACGGTACTTCCCTATGTACGGTATTTTGATGATTTTAGCTATATTATTCACCGTTTATTTCAAGCTTCGAATTTGAATATGGTAATGGCTTATGACAAACAAAGTCTATGCAGGTTCACGTCGTGGAGACCCCAATATATCGGCAATATTCGATATTTTTAAGATTTTAACAGAATTTTTAATGAATTTTATTTTTTGAAAATTTCCAAATTCGTTCCAAATGGTGGAGGTATTCAAAGTTCGGCCTTGCCGAACTTAC